GTCAATCGGTTGCAATATTGGAGTCACGAAAACAGAATAACGGATTGAATGAAAGTGAGGTAAGGCGAAGCATGTAGGTACCTTGCCGTCAGGATGAAAACAGGGGTGAATGATGCCGTTCATGTCCAAGTACAAGTTGTCGAACTCCATGCCATTGGGATTAGGTTTAGAAACATCAACAGCGCCGTCGCCGCCGGCGGTGTCCTCCTCCACAACGTCGACGATCGAGAGCGGGTACCGATCCGCGAGCCACCGGTAAAACGCTGGCACTCCCATATTTCCGGCTCGCTTCGGCCCGGTTCGGAAACACGAGAGAGAGAGGAAAAATAATTATGATAAAAAACAACAATAGAGGGAGATCTATGTTGCCGTTTAATGTACGGGCGGCTGCGGTGGCCGCCTTATTTTATGAGACCAAAATGCCCCCGTTTAGGAGCGTCCTCGTCGAACCGGTGGCACGAGTTCAGTATTGTATGCTTCGGTTTGAACATTAAACCGGTCCGAAGTTAAATCCAAAACATCTCTTATTATTTTTATTTTGAAAAAATATGTATCATCTAAATTTTATTGCTAAAAAAAATAAACAACTAGCATTTGGTACGTGCATGGAAAAATATTTATTTACTAGAACTATGATTTTTAATGAATAAACATTTTTAGGATATATTGTTTAGTTTTATGGTCAAAGATTTACAGCACAACAAATTTTTAACAGTATTAAAATTAAAAAAAATGAGAGATTTAAAAAAATCGAAAACATTTCTTGTCAAAATAAAAATTGTTAAAAAATTCTCCATAAAAAATAAAACTAAAAATATATTTTAGATAAATTTATATAATTTCTACTTATTTGATCTAATTTCTCAAATTTAATCATTTGTTTATATAAAAAAAATCACTCTTCCACCAAATCATTTGAAAACTTTATTTGAAAACATTCTCCAATACATGATCCTAAATTATAAAAAAAAAATTCAATTATAAAATTGTCAAAATGAGTCACTCAATCTTGTCCTACTCTAACCGTCTCAATCATGATTTTTTATACTAAAAATTGAACTTCAAAATTAGAAATTGTATTGATACTAGATATTAAATAAAATAAAAATAGTAAATAAAATAAAAATAGTAAATGAAATACGACACATATTTTTATAATTAATTGGTGGTTCCTTCGTTTCTATTACTTCTTTTAGAAATGACCAGGTCCTCTATATACACCGGAGCCTTTTTCTTTTCATTTTTTATTCATTTAATGCTTTTTCTTTTCATTTTTGATTCATTTAATCAATGTTAGTGTTAACTTGTATAGTTCACACTTTGTGGCTCTAACCATGTAACAACATTGAGTAAGTAGGTTTTTTCACAACGAAATCTAATTATATAGTAATGGTATTTAATTATGAAAATTTGCTGGGTAGCTGACCCTCTTATTCTATTCTTAAAAAATCCATCAAAATTCATTCATTAAGGACATACTTTACGGACTATCATGAGTTGATCACGAGTTGTGGGTTAAACAAATTGACTCGCTTAATTAAAAATATTATATATATTTTTAATTTAACATTTTTTTAATATATAACCAAAACTAAAAAAATACAAAGCTATTTTTTGAACAACGATACGTATTTTTTGAACAATATTTTGACATAGTAAATATCTTTTCTCATTAAATTTAGAGTACCGTACAATAACAAATAAATAAGTAAAAAATGTGTTGTGTCAAAATGTCAAAAATTTCATATCAAAATATTTTTCTCCTAATATTATTACCTTTGTTCCATATTTATTATTATATGATAAGACTAAAGTTATAGTTTTTTAACAAATTTAAATAATTTTAATTAAATGTTTATTAGACAGTTTATTATATTGAATATTAAAATAGTTTTTTTAATCTTTATAAAAATTTTGTTATTTTTCTTTTTATCTATACCTATATAACTTTTTTTACTTTCTTGTTTTCACATTTCCAAATTTATCTTTAATATATATATATACTCTTAAATTAAAATGAATATTTATCATTTTCTAAATTTAACAAATTTTAAATTTACACTTAACAATTTTTTAAATTATAAAATATCTATAAAATAAATTTAAACTATTTTCCATAAAATTATAAAATTATTTATATTTAATTTCATAATTATAACTGTAACAATAATGACATTCAATTTTAATATTAACAACATTGACACGTCACATTTATATTCACATCTACTAACACTATTATTCACTAACAGTTCTATTTATTATAACATGAATCTAATACATAAACAAAGTTAAAATAAATAAAATAAAATAAAAAGAAAATAAAAGACAAATAGAAAACTAGATGAATCTAATACATTGCAACAATTTTAACGAAATAAACTAGTTAAATCACTTTTTAAAATAAAATTTAATTAAAAAAAGATAAAGACACTTACTTAATTATTTTAACAAAAAAATTAGACTAAAAATTAATTTAATTCACACCAACTCAATCACAATCAAATAAGCTTAACCTAATCCATTTAAAGATTATTATTCACTTAAAACATCAATATTTAAAATTCTGTTTATATTTAAATAAAACTTTAAAAGGATCATATAGTTGATAATAGTTAATTGCTTTTGAATTTAGGCAACGTGTTAGACATGGGTTTGTTGAAACTGTGGCAATGTGCTGTCTCATCATCATTATCTTATATTTTGTAGCGCCTGCAACACATTATTGTTTTTAAATAATTATAGGTATTATTAGCTGTTTCGAATCTTGTGCCATCGAAAACAGCCAGGATGGAGTAGTTATTATATGTACAAGCATTACATGTGGATTATTTTTTTATAACGAAAAATAATAAAATTATAATTATAAAATTAAATAAATAATTTTATAATTTAATTATAAATATTTATTTATTTATTTTGTAAATGAATTTTTTATTTAATAAATGTTATTTATTTATTTTAGAAAAATATTTAAATTTAAAAATCAATTAAATTTAAATCAAATAATATCTTGAAGTATAAAAGTGAATGTAAAAAAGAAAAACAATTCTTTTTATATATAGATATATAAATAAATATATCACTAATCAAACATATGAAAGTTTTATTTTATATATATAACCATTCAATATTTTAGAAAATCTAAAATAAACTTAAAAATAAGGTTTTTTTTTAATAAAATATTTTATTTTATATCAAATTTTATTATAGTTTTATTCAAAATTTATTTTGAGTTAAAAAAATGTTGATAACTTTTGCTTTTTAGGTCTAAAGCAATTAATACTAAAAGAAAGACTTCTTCTTTGAGTCTTGAACCGGTTATATATATATATATAATTAATTAATTTTTGAATTTACAAATATAATTTTAAATAATCTTTTATTAAATAATATTTAATGGGTGTTTAATTTCTCATTTAAATATATGATTAAAGAGATAATTATTGTTATTTTAGTCTTTTAGGTTAATTAGCATTATTGGGAATGATATTTTGTTTGTGTCTAAAATCTATTTTTCATAATCCAAACCTTTTACTTAGAAAATCTGTTTTCTAGTAACCAAAATCACCTTAAGAAAATTCAAAAAAGATTTTTTCTAGACACAAAACATATTTAATTTAAAGAAATACTTGTCACTAAAATTTTGAACCAAAACAAAAATATATTAAATTTGTTATACCATATTTACCTTTTATTAAAATTCTTAAAATAATAAAAATAAATTTATAATCGATGTAGTATAGATGCTTTTAAATTAATATAATTTTACGAGTTTTAGTCTAATCAATGATATGCGATGGAGTAATAAAAATAAAACCTAATATAGTCGACTAACTTAATTAAGTACAAGTTATTTTTCTTATTCAGATCTTAAAACCTTAAATATGAAATTAAATAATGTTTTTGTTAAAAAAAGATTTCAAATCTGATTGTGATTTCGAAATCGGTGGGAAAATTCCTTCAGGATGTCGTGCTCGATCTTTATCGAAATCAGGCCGTGCCCATAGTTTTGGCACACATAAAAAAAAAATATGACAATTGCATTAATATCGATTAATTTAAACAGATTTTGAAATTCGAGTTGAGTGATTCAATGTAAAAGTGAGAAATTCAAATTTTTTTTAATGAAAACTATTACCACTGTCGTTATTATTAATTAAGAAAAAAAACTATTTTATATAAAATAATTAAGACATTAACAAACTTAAATATAGTTATAATTTATACGAAGTTAGAAGTTTTTATTTTTCTATAAAAATTAAAATAATTAGTTTTTAAACGTGTGAATTTTAGTTTTAGTTTATACGAAATATTTTTTTTTAATTCTTTTAAAATTTGAAGTTTTGTTTTGTTAAATTATTATATTCCTTTTAAAATATAATATTAAATTTAAGGCGTTATATTGTAACATTAACATAATCACGTAGGATAATTTTAATTTACGTATCTAAGATGAACAAAATCATTAATTTGGTGCTAGTTTTGAAGCTATTTATAATAACATATAGTTTTTGAGACAAACTATTAGTTGCACGAATAAAGAGGCTTTCAACTATTTTTTTTTCTTAATAGTTTTGATACACGCCAGTTCAGAAATAGGGTGAATTTGACTATTAGAATTGTTTATTATTATAAAACTAAGAAAAACGGTGTAATGACGTGAATGATACGAATTCATGAGTTTCTTAGCGAACAATAAAGTATAATTTTTTCCCCTCATAATAACGAACAATAAATCGCTTTCATGATTACAATAAATGAAAATTGAAATGAAGATAAATATGTTTATATAATTTACTTAAAAAAATATCTCAGGTGGACATTTAAGGAAGCGAATCTGTTATTGTACTTTTATGTGATTTTCAAAAACAGTGTTGGAAATTTTAAACAAGAACAAAAATTGCAAAGACTTTTAATAAAAGAAGACAAAAATAAACGGCCAAAAAGACAGTGAGGGTATGAGAGAGAGAAATTAAGATATGTGTGATTGGGTATTAATGAACGAGTTTCATTGAAATTCTCGTCCTCTTCAGGTATATAAGTATTCTCTGTTCGTCTTTGTATCAGAAACAAACGTTGTTTGGATAAGGTTGTGCTGTGGTTGTGACTCACTCTGGTGAGCATAGCAATTGCATTGTTCTGACCAACTTTTATCCTTCTATGTTTTTGCCTTTCTATTGCTACAATTCTGAACTCTTTTTTTTTTTTTTTCAATTGTGTCTATGTTTTTTCTGTTATTTTTTCATATACTGTTCCTTTCTTGAATTAGATACCAGAAGGATTGATGATAGAGTTCTTTAACCCTGTTATCGAATTTTGATCTTCACGTTTAAACTTCAGGGCTTAATCTACTTATTTTCTTTTTGCTACAAATTTCTTCATTTTTTTTCTTTAGTAGATCGATTCGTGACACTCTTGAACAAGAATTCCAGTCTTTGAACTAGTAATATTTCTGAAACATGAGCTCTATAACTGTATAATTTTCTAGGTCAATCTAAGGTTTGAACTATTTTATTTTATCTGATTCTCCCTTTGTTTTTATTATAGGGGTCATGATCTGTTTCTTTTTAGTATAACAAGAAAGATAATACCAATGTAATTGCGATGCATTCCAAAGGGAAAGTTGGGGATTCTTGATCTGTTTTTAGTCACAGGATAACTCAACTCAGCTAAAACTAGTTGGGTATTTAGTTTATCTTTCTGTTTTTAATCACCGAATCCTTGACCCATTTTTATGATTTTGCAGTGCTTTGGTTAACATGGCGGTTGAGAAGTCAAGCATTGCAAAAGATGTGACTGAAGTAAGTCGTGTTCGACCCTGTTCTTTTGTCTTTACCTCACAGAACGTCTGAATTCATTTTTGGAATATGCAGTTAATCGGCAAAACTCCATTGGTATTTCTGAACCACATCGTCGATGGTTGTGTTGCCAAAGTTGCTGCGAAGCTAGAAATGATGGAACCTTGCTCCAGTGTCAAAGACAGGTATATATATTTCTTCATCCTATGATGGAACTTTTGGTCTGTTGCTTGCCTGTTTATGCTCATAACACCCTTTTTGAAACGCTTAGATTGATAAAAATTTGGCATAGATGTTGTATGATTGATGCCCAAGTTTCTTATGGCATGCAAAACAATGTGTATTGAGAAAACTTATGTGATAAAATCATGATTATTTATTTTCCTACAGGATAGGATATAGCATGATTGTAGACGCTGAGCAGCAGGGACTCATCAAACCGGGTGAAGTTAGTTCTTGCTTTAGATTGTCCTCTGCTTGTATATTTGGATTCATGTTTGATATCTATCTTTCATATTGCATCAAAGCTTCACTCTACTTATTCTTCCCAATTTGTCCCAGTATTGTATGAGTACTTTTTGATATTGACATAATCTGGTTTTCAATTTTAAAACGTGAACACATGAATGTTTCTGTGAGACATTTACCGATTTATTATCATCTCAGAGTCTTATCTTTCAAGCAAACTTCTAATTAAGCTGGTTTATTGTTGTTCATGTTATTAGAGTGTTCTCATTGAGCCTACCAGCGGAAACACTGGCATTGGTTTAGCATTCATGGCAGCTGCTAAGGGTTATAAACTTATTATAACCATGCCTTCTTCAATGAGTCTTGAGAGAAGAACCATTCTAAAAGCTTTTGGAGCTGATTTAGTTCTCACAGATCCCGCCAAGGGTATGAAAGGAGCTCTTCAGAAGGCAGAAGAGATAAGGGACAAGACTCCCAATTCGTATATGCTACAGCAATTTGAAAATCCTGCAAATCCAAAGGTATTGTGTCAATGCTCTTTGTTGGAAAAACCGGTTGGTTGATGAGTATTCAGACATTCTCTCATTCCTCCTATTCTTAGATTCATTATGAAACCACTGGACCCGAGATTTGGAAGGGCTCCAGTGGGAAGGTTGATGGTCTTGTCTCTGGGATTGGAACGGGAGGTACAATAACAGGTGCTGGAAAATATCTGAAAGAGCAGAACCCTGATATAAAGGTTAGGCTTTTATTTTTCTCATGTTGTATGAATTAATCTTTCTAATGTTTCCTCTGCACTGTTTATGATTTTCACACCATTTTATTTACTCAGCTATATGGCGTCGAGCCAGTAGAAAGTCCAATACTGTCTGGAGGAAAACCTGGTGAGTATTGACTTTTCATCTGTAAGACTTAAGTACAGCCATCATATCTCTCCCTTGTCTATTTATTTTCTCTCCTATATCTCCATACTTTGGAATTCACTAGGAGAATCCAAAAATATAACCCACAGTTGGTATTTTCAGAAATATAACAGAATTATTTTAAAATTCAATTTGGTTTCTAAGAAAACATTGTTGATCTGTTGTTTCTATTTAGTTTCCTAAATTTGAAACAAGGGATGTCTGCTTTGTAATTCACCATTATTGCATTGATGATGTAATTCATGCATGTCCTTAATGAGCATTTGTGTGTTTGATGTCTTCTTAGCTCTGTTCACATTCTACCGTTACAAGATTAACAAAAAAAATCTATGTACTACTTTTTTTGGTTTTGATATTTATCAAATATCTGCCTCCTTTTGTGTACTCTTTCCCTGACACATGCATCATTGTTGAATTGAATGGATATAAGGTCCTCATAAGATCCAAGGAATTGGTGCTGGCTTCATCCCTGGTGTTCTGGACGTTGATCTACTAGATGAAGTTATTCAAGTAAGCCACAAACCTTTTTGATAGTTTATTTGTGCTTAATAAAGAGTTTTGTGTCATTTAAGATAATCTGGTGTGCCTCTAGTCTTACACCTGATATTTTTGTTCTTTATATACATGCAAGAGTTACATTAATTGAAGGCTGGAAGGGTATTAATTCACTTTTATGGAGGAAGCATCGCTAACTGAGTCATGATAATTTATCCATGCTTTCTGAAAATACTGATATTAACTTTCATATTTGTTTGTGATTTTAGATCTCAAGTGAAGAAGCTATCGACACTGCTAAAGAACTTGCTTTGAAAGAAGGTTTGCTGGTAAGTTCACAATAAAGATAGACTACTTTTCAGTGCTGTTACTTCTTCTCATGCCTTGACTTTGATTATGTGCATCATCTTCTGTTAGTAGCATCTGGTGGAGACAGTACTTTTATTGCTATTTTGTTTGTATTATAAATATTGCAGGTGGGGATATCATCTGGTGCTGCTGCTGCAGCTGCAATTAAGATAGCAAAAAGGCCAGAAAATGCTGGAAAACTCATTGTTGTAAGTTTGTCTATTGTTCACCTAACATCAAATTTTCTTTGGTGACTGTCATTGTTAGTTTACTATTGATTCAATATAAATGTGTTCTAAGATTCTCAGAATAGTCGCATCTTTAATTGCTGATCATTGACAAACCCTTGAGTTTTAGTTTTCAGAAATATCCCATCTGGTTGTCATAGATGCAGTTGAGTGTGTATGTCTGTATTCCATCACTGATAATCTTGTTGTAAACCTGTGTAGGTGGTCTTTCCAAGCTTCGGAGAGCGTTATCTATCATCTGTGCTATTCGAATCTGTGAAGCGAGAAGCAGAGAGTTTGGTCTTTGAACCCTGAATACAAAGCCAAATTAGTCTTTTAGTGCTCGTGTGATAGTAGTCATTTGATGCTTCTCAAGTTGCATTCCCGGCTTATGTATTTATTTGTTTTTCCAAATCTAGAAGTTAAAAATGGGTTTGTTTGGTTGTGAAATAAGATTCAATAGTAGTAACAGAAGTTGGCTGGAATTTCAAACTTGTCCACAATTGTTCATCACTTTGAGATAATGGTATCAAGACTCGGTATACGAGTTTTAGTTGCTACTTAAATCCGGTTTATGAATGCTAATCTAATAAAACACTCTGAACTGGGGTCATAAAATAAATTGACATGACCAAGCTTAAACATAGTTTGATCCAGACGAATATATTAAATGATTTTAATGTATTTTGTTTTTCCATCTATTGTCTCTAAAATGAGTTTGGGTATGCCAATATTTTTTTGGAAGTGATCTTGCTTGATAGGTTGACAAATTTACTCAGTCAACCCTGGTTTATTGACATTGAGAGTATGCCCATGGTAACTTAATTGATTGTTGGAACCTAAAACAAATAATTTTGGATGATTCTTGCAACCCATTAAGATTTTTTCATTCATGGATAACCTAACTGAATGTGTACGAGGACTGAACTTTATTGTGTACGAGGATTAGACAGTAATCGATTGTCAGATATCAAAAGAAAATTTTAGGCATTTACTTGAATTTCCAAAACAACAAATGAAATTAGGTATCTACTTATTAATTTCCAAAACAACAGATGAAATTAGCGTAGACTTCAGTTTCAGTAACAGCAAATGAAATTATCACATACTTCAGTTTCCAACACAACATAAGAAATTAGCATAAACTGCCAAATTAAGAATTCATATTCATAAATTAGCATGAGTTTAAAAGCTAATTTAGATTAGGAACCAACCCAATAGGCCAACCAAAAAGCAATTTAGACTGAATTTGGAAGGGGCCGCGCGAACGCAGGCCCCCACTGCCACAAATTATGATGTAGGCTCTCCCACTTGGGGAGACCTTAGGGTGGCACCCTTCCAAAGTGCAATGGAAGTCACCAACCTAGGCCATGGGCCTTGTTGATCACCCATTGACCCCATCCAGGTAAGTATGTTAAAACGTAGCCAGTAGCTCCCTATTTATACAATGCTGTCAACTGGCATGACTATAACTTGATCAATGTGGGACTAGATCTTACTCTTCTGTTTCAAACAGAACCATTTACATAACTTATGTTTTGTCTGTGATAATTCTTCAATTTGTGTGTAACTACTGTTCTGCCCACAGCACACAAACGGTTTGAAGATGTAGTTGTTCTGCATGCGTTATTCCTCAGTGTTGAAGAGCATTACCTATCTTCATCTGTGTTTTATTTAGATTAAGATTGTATATTAATGGAATTTCACAAGAATGATACATTTATGAAAGTGCCTTAAAACATAATACAGTAAATTAATATTTAATAGTAATAATAACACAAAAATAAGAAAATATTAGCAGTTGTGATTGTTTATGCGTGGAATTTAATTGTGCTTAAACAAAGATTTTTTTTACCTGTTCGAGAATCTGGTGTTCCTCAGTTCTACACCATGCAAAACATGAAATCTGAACTGCATAAACAAGTAAAAGTTTCATTTTTAGCATTAGCACACATGGTTATTAAGTGCCATCTAAACTGTTTTGAACAAGTTATTGTTTTTAGTACGAGTATGAAATTTTTTCTATTATTACTTTTCTCTGGTTGGTGCAGTGGAAAATGAATTTGAAGGCCGGAAATATATTAATTCACTTATATGGGAGGAAGCCATTGTTAGTTCTGCTTTAGATTCATCTGGAAGTGTTTTAATTATAAATATATTGTTTGTCTGACGTCAAGTTTTCTTCTGTGAATGCCATTGTAAGTTCTGCTTAAGATCGAGTATGGTATGAGTGTGCCCAAAGGTTTTAACATTTTTTACAGAAGATGTGCAGGATCCTAATGTGAATATGGTCCCACATTGCATAAGAATGAGGCGAAAAAATTGTATATATAAAAAAAGACCCACACAATTTCTTTTTGGATTTTGACTTAGAAGTGGTATCTGCTATCTGGGCAATTAGATATTGAGTATCGCGTCATCTATATAATTATTCATTATTTAAATAACTTTTCTACTCTTCAATTCTTTTAACTAGAAATTTAGCTTAATTTAGCGGTAGTATAAATATTTTATATAAAATAGCCATATATTTGAGTACCATTTTTTTATTTTATAATAATAAAATAAACACATCATGCTATTATTACCATAAATTTATATTTATTAGATAACTTTATTTTTCTTGTACATAAATTTGTATCTTTTTCAGGTAAATCATATTAACATATAAGAATTATTTTAAAAGGATTTATAAGAAATTGGAAATGTGTATGCACAAGAGGTGGTGACAGTCTTTTTTTTACTTTAAAGAACTTTCTGGTTTGGATTGGGGCTTACGAAATTAAACTCCTAAAACGCCGTCGTTTGCTGTGAAATATATTTAAGCAAGCTATATTCTACTTTTTCTTCGTGTTCCTTTTCTTTTCTTTTCTTCCCTTCTTCTTTAGCACTGCTACGACGATCCAAGGTGATAGATATTTCTTGCCATGGAAGGTGTAGCTGAATCCCAGCGAACTCTGTGAGTGTACTCTCTCTCACTTCCCCCATTTTTTCTTCAATTTTCTTTTTTAGGGTTTTCACAGTGAATGATTTGATTTTACTCTTAAACTGCACATTTTGTCTCATTTCTTTTGCCCTAAACTATGCTTTAACCCTAGGTACCCGTACGTGACTGGATCCTCTGTAGTTGCTATCAAATACAAAGATGGGATTCTCATGGCCGCTGATATGGGAGGTCTGATATTCAATTAGCTTTTTATCTTCGTTTCACAAAATGCTCTTTATCTGATTATTGTGGAAGTTGCTTTCTTGGAGTAATTTGTTTCAAAGAAATGACATTATCGGAGAAATAAATTTAGCGATGGTATTAGTAGTTGATTTCTGATTCATGAATCTGCCATGTCTGAAAAGTTCATTATAGTGTTTTTAAGTATTCGAAAACTTTGTATATCATCTGAATGGGGGATATGTTGATAGGTTCATATGGATCTACCCTGCGGTACAAGAGTGTTGAGCGTATCAAGCCTATTGGAAAACATTCTCTCCTTGGTGCTAGCGGGGAGATAAGTGACTTTCAGGAGATTCTGCGCTACCTTGATGAGCTTATGTCAGTACCTTTTCCTTTTAATAATAATTGTTACGCATTGTGAACCGGTTATCTCAAATAAGTTTAGTGTTAAAGGTGTTATGAGTTAAAATGGTTTCATCTGCTCCGTTTTCCGCTATGCTTGCTTCTTCTTTTTTTTGGGCACAGTAAAGTACTCCTTTTGTGTATTTTTTCCCTTTCCTTCCTTGTACTACAAAAATTCCCATCTAAATGTTTTTGCTTTTACTTTTGATTTGCAGCCTTTATGACAACATGTGGGATGATGGGAATTCTCTAGGACCGAAGGAGGTGCACAATTATTTAACCCGTGTAATGTACAATCGGCGGAACAAGTTCAATCCTTTGTGGAATGCACTTGTGCTTGGTGGAGTTAAAAATGGCCAGAAGTACCTTGGCATGGTATGAATTTGTGTTTCTTTGTTTGTTTTTTATTTGCAGTTCCAAATCTGGTATACCTGCATGTTTTTTTCTTTCCAACAATTAAAATCATGAATCTTATCCAGGTTAACATGATTGGGATTAATTTTGAGGATAACCATGTAGCAACTGGGCTTGGAAACCATCTTGCTAGGCCAATTCTTCGTGACGAGTGGCATGAAAACTTGACTTTTGAAGATGGTGTCAAATTGCTAGAAAAGTGCATGCGTGTGCTTTTATACCGGGATAGGTCTGCAGTCAACAAAATTCAGGTTTTATACTGTTTCCTTTTATGTTCTCTGCTCTACTCTACTCCCTCCTTTCTCCATTTTCCATTTATCAAACATGTATTGTGGATAAGTTCAGAGGGTTTCAATTTGTACAACCTCAAATGTACATTTCTCATCTGGATTATTTATCAAAGCAGTAAAAGGAATTTAAAAGTGATAGTGGGCATTAGGGAGGCTTTAAAATCTCACAACCTCCTTTTGATGGCCTTTTCCTTCACTCTAAACTGATTATAATAAGATATGGGACCTAGCTTAGATAAAATTGTTCCTACCAACTTGACCTATAGTTCATCAATAGCAAGTATGAGCAATTTGTTTGGGATAGACCATAGTTATCTTCTTCAATGCTCTATAGTCAACCCAACCTCCAACATTCATCTTTTTTCTTTTCTAAAATTAAAAAAAAGTGAAAAATGATGTTTTTGTCCTCCGTTTACATCTGCCAATTGTTCGTCTCATTCTCATGTTTATGTTAATTTAAATATTTTGCTCAATATTGTGATTGGTTTTGGAATTTATACGAGAAGCTTTGGAAAATTGGTCGGTGATTTTGTCTGATTTTCTCTAAATTTTGGGTTATGCATATGGTTCGTGCTGATGCATATATGAGAAAGTTCATCAGTTGGTTTTTAGTTCCAAAGCATTTCTCACATGCTTACTTAGATGTTTTTGTGTTTTTTAGGAAACTAGAAACAACGATGAAAGAATAAGACAAAAAAGAAGCAAAGATAAAGTCTTGCACTGTATTATTCACTTTACAATGTAAAAGCCAAAGCTTTCAAAGGAAAATGACTTTCCTTTCTCACAGGGTTAACCCTGTCACAAACATCAACCCAAAAAAACTCCCCTCAACATTCCACAAGATAAGAATATATAGACTTTCCTAGAAAGTCTCCTCCCACGTAACAACTAATAATTTTACTACTTTTAACTTTAAATTTCTTCCTAACCCTCATATTTCTTCGATGCCTAACATTACTCTCTTGCTGGAACAACCTTGTCCTTAAGGTTGAGCTCTGGCAATTTAAGTTGCTTGAGGCCCTCATGACTGATTTCTTCATCCATGCAATGAACTAGCTCCTTTAAACTAATCAAAGCACCATTGTTGACATGTTGATCTTTGTTAATATCTTTATCACCATCCTTATTGCTGACTTGGTCATAACTCTTGCAATTAGTTGTCATAAGAAGCAAACCAGAAACACCTTGATCAGTAACATCTAGAAAAATGTTACCAGGTACCATATCAGCGATTTCCAAGCCAGTAACCTCCATAATAACATTTTTGGATGTCTTGACAGGAAAAATTTCTTGAAAGGCTCCAACACATTCCTTATTTTTAATTTGTAGTTCTGAAGAATCACAAGTTTCCTCCAGATTAGGTAACAACTTAGATCTTGCTTCAATTGATGGATTTGGTTTGGGCACCAGCTCCAAGCAGTTTTCTCTCTGGTTCAACAGCATCTGAATTGTGGTTCAACCATTGTATCAATTTCTGTCACAGAAACCAATTTTACATCTGCACCAGAATTATGGGATTGGCATTCATATTCAGTGTTCTACAATTCGAACTCTCGAGTATTTTTGGGACCCAGAGTCAAATCTATCTGCAAACTAGATACCTTTTCAGTATCATGCGAGTCTTCCACTAGGTGCAAAACGTTACTTGGTTCTTGAAAAACATCATCAGCAATCTTGACAAATCCAATGTGTATTGTGTCAATCAAACTCACATTGGACAAGACATTCTCCAACAATCTAACCAACCTCCTCGTGCTATATGCTCTCTGTGATGGGATACCACTCGGGGACTGAATCTTGGTGGGGTGCAAACCGAACGACATGTAGCTCTTCTCCCACCAATGGAGAATGCAGCCTCCACCTTGATTGGATTCAAAATTTCATCCAATCATTCAACTTGACTTAGAGCAGCAAGAGCATTAGCCATGGCAACATTGGTGATGTTGGTGGGAATCTTGTTCTTCTTGTAGAAGGTCTGTAGCTTTGCAAAGAAATACTCCGTCAAACGATCTTTCGGTGTTTGATTTACTTGTGACATTAATATCTTGAATTCTTGCATGAAAATTTTTACACATCTAGTCTGTTACTGCTGCCAACTCTCAAATAATACGCTTCCCCTATGCCTCCAGCTCTCCTTAGTAGAGTTGTTGCAAGATCTTCCCAAGAAGGGTTCTTGATCTTTTGTTGCAAGATCTTCCCTATTGCCTCCAGCTTTCCTTGCTCATTGGCCCATCTCTCCAAAGCACTCACTTTGCTTTCCATGATTCTCCCTCAACACATCTGGTAGGTTGCACCAAATTTTTAGGAACCTAGAAACAGCGATGAAACAACAAGACAAAAAAGAAGCAAAGATTAAGTCTTGCAATGTATTATTCACCTTACACTGTAACAGCCAAAGCTTTCAAAGGAAAACTGTTTTCCTTTCTCACAGGATTCTCTCAGTCACAAACATCAACTAAAAAAACTTCCCTCAACATCCCACGAGATAAGAATATATAGACTTTACTAGAAAGTCTCCCCCCATGCAACAACTAATAATTTTACTACTTTTATCTTTAAGGGTGTATTCCTTTTAGGGTATTTACCTGTTTGTGGGAGAGTAAATGGAGATGACATGCTTGTTCCTTCCAAGAGACTTGGGGGTAAATGAGGGAGAGTATTTGTGGAAGAGAGGTGAGATTCTATCTCTCCTAAGGTGAGGAGGTGATTTGAGGAGATGAAGAATGCAATTACCAAATGATCCTTTGTTTTTTCTAAAATTTACAGTCCTCTTTATCTATGATAACTAATAATCATAATAATAAATTTTTTTTAATAAATAAAGTATTTAAAAATAATGTTAATGCAGAATAATTTAACCAATTACAGTTTATTTTAAATTAATTACACCTATCAATTTTTTTATAAGAAAATCATCCAGGTTTAATTTTGAATTAATTTTAACTAATTACATTTCATTTTCTTTTCATTTTAATCATAAGGACAAATATGTACTCTTATCACTTAATCTATTAAAACATTATTTTTATCTCTCACATCCATCAAATTATTCACAATTTTTTATAAATTTTACCTTCAAATTTCTTCACTTTCACCTCCAAATCCCTTAAAAGGAACAACATCACTTTATCCTCCATTCTCTCTCAAATTATCTCTTCAAAAAGAAGAGAGCCTAAATTTCTTTCTAACCCTCTCTTTCTTCCATGCCCAACACAAGCTAGGCGGTAACTACTAACTACTACTAGAATGTAGGCTTGTTTATCATTAACTGGTGGTTGTGTCTGCTGATGTGTAAAACTTTCAATTTCTTAGGCTGTGCACATTCTGTAGAGTGTTGGTGGTCATTTTTATCAGTCAATCACTGCTCTGCTTGTGTACCGTAGGTTCTTGACTGCTAAACTGTATATATGTTGAAGATGTTAAATCAGGGGTAAACTGAACCTCTATTGCACCCTTTTGTATCATGTGTGCATGAGGATTGAGGCTTCGATCTGAACTAAAATTCTCACTTCTTCGCTTTGTTGAACTGAAATGGGTTGTAATACATTGCACTATGAATAATTTATGATATTTAATTGTAATGTACGACGGTTTGCAGATATCCAAAATTACAGATGAAGGTGCAACTGTTTACTCACCTTTCTCGTTGAAAACGTACTGGGAGTTCTCTGCCTTCAAGAATCCAACAGTGGGCGCTGAAGGTTCGTGGTAGACCACTCATTGTGAAATGAAACAGAATTTGAAATTTCAAGGTGTTAATGGGATGTAAAATGAAGTTAAAATAACTGTTTTTTTTATGTCTTTTTAGGTTTGAGCTGATCTGTTTCATTAGAATCTATATTCCAATTTCCTTTCATTATGACATTCATAAGATACTTTTCCTATCTCAATTGCTTGCATAGACATTAGTGCGGCCCACCGGTTTGAATTTTAAATTAATCATGCAAAGATTTGAAAACGAGTTTCGATTGTTATGTTTTCTTTTCCTATAAAAAACTGAATGCATCTGCCATTTTGTTTTAGATGTTGGGTCACTTGGGATTTCTAGAAGAAACAATGTAGGGTCATTTTTATATAATTTTTTGTAGGATAACTTTTTTTTTTTCCAAAAACTTAAGAAAAGTGTTTATTTTCATATCATTTTAATATGCTTATGTTTTGTATATGTCGTTAAAAATTAGTAACTAAAATGAATATATGTATAATATTTTATAATTTCTTTTTATGAACTATGGAATGAGTTCTCAATTGAGTTAAAAGCATCTAGTCGATTGGCGTGAATATATCTATCTTAATTATCTTACTAGGGATGTTTTATTAAATTAAATGTGTTAAGAAATTTATTGAAATTTAAGCTTGTAAATTTTATCCAACATTGATCTTTACAATTTAATTTGAATTTTTTTTAAACAATCATTTGAAAAAGTGATAAAAAGTTAATACTATTGAGACAGATTAAGTATAACTACATAATTTAAAACTGATTAAGTTTATGGATTATTTAGAAAAAAAAAAGTTTCAACGTTCATTTGCAAAAAGTTTAAGGTATTCATCAAGAAATTAATTTATTATATATATTTTAATTTTTTTAACCAAATACTCGTGTGAGAGAATAAAATTTTTAAGAAAAGAAATGAGCTTATATATTAACTTATGATGTAGCAAGTCAATGAATTAACTAGGGACGTTTTATTGTATCTCCAAGTTTTCTGTAATTTTCTTTTTGTCCTCCTCTTATTATATATTAAATAAATAAATAAATTTGTCTTCTCTTACTCAAACTTAACTTCCTTTACTCGAACTCTTCTTCTTTCTTTGTAACTCTTGTTTTCTTTGACATCGAAGAACCAAACATCCATTTGCGTCGCTTTGATGGAGGACTACTTCGACAAAGTTTCGTCTTTATGTTTATCCATTGAATTGAGGTAATATTTTGAAATATGTTAATTGAACTCCAAAATTGTTCACACCGGATTTTGTAATCCGGTTAGTTTACATAGTAGTTCAATGGGGGATTTTGTAATCCGATGCACAAAAATTCTGTAATCCAGTGCATTCCAGATTAAACAGTAAGGGAGTGAGTTTTTTTTTTTTTGTTTTTTTTTTTCGTTTGTTTGTTCATCCATTCATCACCTGAATTTTTTCCCCACACAATTTTCCTAATTCTGGAACATACAACACCATTACCCTCATTCACCAACACCTCGGTCATCTCCATCCTCCAACTGCCTGACGCATGAAACACACACAGAGACACAACAACCTCCATCATCAATTTCTTCCACCATTTGCATTCAACTTTCAACACCAATACAAGGAAGAAGAAGCATAAACGAAAAATAAAAATCCATCGGAGGAGGAGGGATCACAAATTGGAACAAAAATAGAGGATATGTAAATAATGGAATTGCATGTTAGAGATCGACAGTATTGGGAATGCTCTTGGTCGCCGATGCCGTCCCTAGCTTGGTGGAAGCAGCGACCCATTCATGTCACTGTCGGCGATGACTTCTACAATCAATGGAGGAAGAAGCCTTAAAAAGAGAACGAAGAAAATAAAAAATGAGGTATGGAGGTGCAGTTGTGGAGATTAGTGAGGGAAGGGTTTTGCAAATTAGGGTTTTTTAATTTACAGGTAAAAAATGGAGTGCAGGGAAATGGGTCTATGACGACTTTAATAAGAAAGGAGAACATGGGAGGGAAATCAAATTAGGAAAATTAAAGTGTATATATATATATATATATATATATATATATATAATGTGTGTAAAAGA